TCCCAGTCCACCAAGGACCCGGCCCTCCGAGACCGGGGAGTCTGGGTCCTCCGGAGGACCCGGCCTGTCGTTTTGGACACAGCCACAGTTTGAGTTGAATGTAAATCATGACTCACCTGTTTTAGGTTTTATTTAAAGCCCTGAAAAGGTCTGAATCAGACGTGATGTTAGCAGATCTGTGCTGTCAGAAGTGGAGGTGGGAGTAAAGATAATTAGACGAATCACATGTAGAAGGTTCTGGTCTGACCCACATTGGTTTGTCCTTTAAGGGTTACCGTAGCTTCCTGTTGTTGAATCATGACTGCTGAACCCTGGAGAACATCTGTCGGCGTGTTTTGGTGGTCCTGTGTGAACTGTAGAACCAGTTTCCTGTTCTGAGCCGACAGGAGCTAAAAGAAGTCTCAGTTTGAGGATAATCAAAGTGTTTTAAAGGTTTTATAATCTCATGGCAGCCGGATGATTCTGGGTGTTCAAGTTTCTCTACAGTCATAATAAAAACTGTAGCTGCAGTTTGACCTCTGACCTCAGCAGTACATTTGTTTATTATAAATTGTCAACAGAATCAAACAAGTCGACATTTTTCTGTCTGGTCCAACAAAAGAAAGCATCTGTTTGAAGGGAAAACAAAACGATCAGGAGCCGACGCCGCTTTAATGATTTAAAAACAAAATGTTTTAGAGAATCTGTTTTTGTCTAAAATCTTTAAATATTTACCTGTTCTTCTGTTTCTGTTCTTAATCATTTCTGTGACATGAAGTGAAGAACATTAATTAAAGAGCAGCTACAGATTAGTTTAAATGAGCTGAAGAGGTTTTTATAGTTGGAGTTTCTTGGACGACACATAAAATCAGATTTCTGTTGTTTAGGAGGTGAAAATATCTTTGAGTTTTATTTTGAAATAATCTGAGCAGCTAAAGGTCGGAGTTAAAAACCATCCGTTGTAATCTGATGAAATCGCAACGATTGTTCATTGTTCCCAGCTTTGGGATCTGGAGATTTCCTGGCTCTGGTCCAGATCTGGGTCCTACCACAAACAACGAGCGGTGGGGTGGGATGGTGTGGGGGGTCCTGATATGGAAATGGCATTAATTACTGCAGCAGATGTGATCTTCAGCATAAACACTTCAGAATCTCACTGGAAAAGGTTCTTTTCAACAGGAGCTGTTTGTGTTTACTTCCTGTTTCACCAGGTTTAACCTTTTAATCTAATTCTGAAGGATAATCTGAATCCAGCTGAAATCCTCAGATCTTCATCTTTGCAGTGATTAACTTATTAACCGGCCTTCACTTTTGTTTTTTGTTTTTTGTTTGTTTGTTTTGTTTTTCCAGCGCCGGTCCAAAAGGAGACAACATCTACGAGTGGAGGTCGACCATCCTGGGCCCGCCGGGCTCCGTGTACGAGGGCGGAGTCTTCTTCCTGGACATCGCCTTCACGCCCGACTACCCCTTCAAACCCCCCAAGGTCAGCAGCTTCAACACACACGTTCAGAGGCTTTAGCTAATGCCACGAGCTAAAGGCTAAAGTTAGCTAAACCACTCTAAATGAATTAGAACAGTTTCTAAACATATGTACAGCAAAACAGCTGAAGGCTAAATGTACCAAACAACAGCTGAAGGCTAAATGTACCAAAATAACAGCTGAAGGCTAAATGTACCAAACAACAGCTGAAGGCTAAATGTACCAAAATAACAGCTGAAGGCTAAATGTACCAAACAACAGGTGAAGGCTAAATGTACCAAACAACAGGTGAAGGCTAAATGTATCAAAACAACAGCTGAAGGCTAAATGTATCAAAACAACAGCTGAAGGCTAAATGTAACAAAACAGCTGAAGGCTAAATGTAACAAAACAGCTGAAGGCTAAATGTAACAAAACAACAGCTGAAGGCTAAAAACAAGAACTGTTGATAAAAGATAAATATAGCAAAAGCATAGCTAAAAGCTACCGTATTTTTCGGACTATAAGCCGCACCCCCAACATAAAAAACAGTACACCCAAATTTGTCGTCAAAAAAGTGAATTCAACATCAAAACATAAAAAGCAAACCTTTAAGAATTAAAGTTCGGAGGAATACGGTGCATTTAACTGACCTTATTTTGGTAGTTTTCTTTAACAGTTTCTGGTCCAACAAAACGTCTCATTCATCTTCCTCCGGCGCACTGAAACCATCGAAGTCCTCCTCTTCAGTGTCGGAGTTAAACAAGCTGAGAAAAGCTGCGTCACACAGCGGTATCTGTTGTCCTCCATGCTGGCTCTGAAGCTGTGTTGTCCTCTTCACGTAGCAGTCCAGCCTTTCAGAACCCATTGATGATGGTGGACTCATTCACTCTGCTCCACACAGTTAGGATCCACTGGCAGACATCAGGAAACGACGCTCTTCACATTCGGCCAGTTTTTGTGAATGATTTATCTCCGTCAGTCATCCAAGCCTCCCATTCAGCCCTGAGTGCTGCTTTAAATGCACCTTTCACACTGATGTCCAGGGGTTGCAAAAACTTTGTTGTACCTCCARGAATAACAGCAGGAATTGAGTTTGTTTTCTTGATGGCTGCTTTGACTGAATCCGTGATGTGGGCTCGCATACTGTCCAATATCTTGTCTGTCGAAGGTCCGTCGTGTCATGTCTGCTACTAGCTAAAACAAAATGGCGCTACTCCTCTGGCTAAGCTGGCAGGATGGTCGCTCAGCTGTTGACTGGTCGACGTGCCGTCACGTGATTGTTCGGCATTTGTTTTCGCACTGACCTTTCATAGTTCCCCCAAGAAACGCCGAGCCAAGCTGCTGGGAAAGCCCTCCCGCTCCAGCATACGTCACTGCATGGGATTCCTTCCCCGGGGAGTGCAATGAGGAAAGAAAAAGTCAGCAGCTCTTCACTCGACGTTTGTCCACAATCCTGGATTAAGCTCCAAAGTTTTTATCAGTCAGATTTCACCGTGAAAAAAGTCTGTTTTATCCCCTTTTATGAGTTTTTGGCCATTGACTATCTTTAAATCGCTGCTTCCTGGTCAACAGTCGGCTCTGGAAGTGGATCGCTTTTTTCTTTTTTTTTTTTCTTCTTTTTGAAGTGAGTGGTTGAAGCAAATGGAGCATAAGAGCCCCCTGGTGGCTGAAGAAAAAAATCCATGTATAAGCCGTACTGGACTATAAGCCGCATGGTTCAAAGTTCAGGAAAAAAGTCGCGGCTTATAGTCCGAAAAATACAGTAAGTGTTGTAAAGTATAGGTAAAAGCTAAAGTGTAGCAAAAAGCTAAAATATGAGCAAAACTGTTGTTAAATGCTTAATGTATTAAAACTACAGCTAAAAGCTAAACATTGTAAGTAGTGTTACTTAAAGATCTAAATAACAGCTAAAATCTAAACCTAGTCAAATATAACTAAAAGCTAAAATAAAAACACAGAATGTTGCAAAGTTTTTGCTAAAAGCTAAAAATTAGCAAACCTGTTGCTAAAGGCTAAAAATACGAGAACTTGTGCAAAATGATAACTGTAGCAAAAGAATAGCTGAAAGCTAAATGTTGAAAAATATAGCTAAAAGATAAAATGAGGAAAAAATCACAGCACAGTGCAAAACTGTCGCTAAAGTTTAAATGTAGCAAAACTACAGCTAAAAGCTAAAATGAGCAAAACCAAAGCTGAAAGCTACATGTGCCAAACTTGGGCTGAAAGCTAAAGTTAGTGAAGTGGTTGATAAAATAAAATCATATTCATGATGGAGCAGAAAGTTTTGATTAATTTGATTTAAAAAATAATAAAAATAAATTTTGCTGAAATATTTTGAAAATGTAAACAGAAGTGCTGACTCAGCACTCAGACAGTAAAACACTGAATTATGTCAATATTTGACATAAAATCAGATCTTTGATCAGATTCAGTATTTAGATTATTGACATGAAATATTTTACTTTAAAAGAAAAATGTTGACAAAAGCTTTAAAAATTAAAAATAAAAAATGAAACTGTAAGAGAAAAACTTCAGATGAATTTTAAGGATTTATAAGATTAAAGTGATTTTACTGAATAATTAGTTTTTGTTTTTAGTCACAGATAAAACAAAGATGCTGATCTTTGTTTCTGCACCTTTAAACGTCTGTCAGCTTAAACCTTCAGATAATTAATTATCAGCCCAACAGGAAGTGTTAATTAGTTCATCTTCTATAGAAAGACTCGTTAAGTCTTCGACCCGTCACTGATTAATGACTCTTTAATCCAAATCCAGTCATTGTGAGATTTTACTACAAACCTTTTTTTTTATTATTTAAAACAAAATGGAAATCCACAATTGAGAAAACGTGAGATTAGATTTAAAAACTGTCTTCAGACTGAAACAGATCTGTTCATGAAATAAAAC